GATGTCCTCCTCATTTGACAGGTCACATCTGTAGGGGATCAAAGTCCCGGGGTAGCCTGCACTCTTACATTCAGCAGCCAGCTCCTATGAAACCCAACAGGGGTCTCACTGGGGTGAGCTGCACATTCCCATACCTCCCCACCTGGAGTTGTACCTCCCTCCTTGTCACCACTCATAGGACTCTGTCCTTTGGCAGCCACCTTTTGGCCACATAGATGGGCTGCCCATCCCCCAAAGCTTGTCCTCCTTGGTCAAAGTCCAGGGGATGAGGGCACTCCCTGAGTGAGGGAGGGGGAAAGTTGAGTGGATCATCAGAAGAAGGAACCTCATGTATAAACTCAAGTTTTCAATTCTAAGGAGGAAGAAGCATGGCAGGGATCCTAGGAATGGGGTGGGGAGTCCTCTTTTCAGCCTCTTCACAAGAATACCTCCTCTGCCTGAAAGTAGGATGCACCTTTTGCCCTACTTCATGCTTCTTCCACAAGTCACTGAGCTGGCTACTCCAAGGTGTCAGTTCTCTCCTCCCCACTGATATCAATCGATCCCTCCCAGAAAGTCTCATCTCCGAACCATTACCCTCCCTTGCAGTCAGTTTGGCAAAATTCAAAGGTGTGTTCTCACACCTACACCTTCCATTGAAGCCCAGCTGCCCAGCTCCTCTTTCCCTCTACCTCCAGAAGGGGTCAGGATGTCAAGACAGATTATTTATTCCTCTAACCCCTAGTACACCTCCCTCTACCCCCAAGTTTCCCTGGAGATTATGAGGCAAGTAGGTGGCAGGTGGTAGTTGGCAGGTGACACAGGGCACCCTCTACGCAACTCCAGAGGAAATACCTGAGAAAGCAAAGCCAGTGAAAGACAGCTGTGAGGAAGCTGGTATTCAGAAGAAAGAAGAAAACGGGCTACATGGCCTAGAAGGCATTTGAGATTTGTGAAGGTGACATGTGGTGGGGGTAGTGGGTACCTAGAGGAAGGCCAGCTTGGCCAGCTGTCTTAGCCTGGAGCCCCTTCCTCCTCCCAAACCAAACTAGGAATAAAGGGTTGAATCAGATGACTGGAGAAATTCATTTCTGCTCTTTCTGTGAGTCTTCTGGGACTCAAACACCCTCTCTGCCTGATTTTACTGCTCAGAACCACCTCAGGAAATAGAGTTTCTCTTTGAAGAAAGCCAGAACCCAAAGTCTGCTCTGATATCCATGAATTAACCAATCAATAAAAGCAGACTATGGGTAAGAAAGCCTGGAATTTGGGGATCCTCTTTAGAAAAGTTTCCACACCAACCCCAAACCTCAGTCCTGGGTCAAACATTCAAAACCTCTAGCTCCTGATCAGTAGAGGACCAAAGGAAGCCAACCTGCCCCAGCACACAACATCCCCCTTTTTTCAGGGGCTAAGAACTGATTTCTCTATTGCTGTCTTCTCACTGCGCCTCCTTCACCTACTCTCAAAACCAAACTGAAACCCCTCACAGCAGGAGCATTCTCCAGTCATGATAGTCATTCTTGGAGGTACATGACCAACCTGGGGATCCTCTTGGGATTCAGGGTTCCCCTTTCCTGGCTAGCTTGGGGTATATAAGAAAGCAAGAGTGGCTTCAGAATTAGGGGATTCTGTTCAATCCCTGATCTGATCCTCTAGGTTCCAAAGGTAGGGCTGGGCCCTGAGCTTATTCTAAGAAAAAAAAGGGAGAGGCAGAGTGGGGCCATGATGGAGCCAGGTGACCTTAGGATTATCTGGGAGGTTATAAAAAGTACCTTTGATCAGCAGCAGGGGAGGGAACCTTCCTTCCTGTATACCTTCTCCCTCTGTCCCCACCCAAGGCCTCCTGATCTTTTCTCTACCTGGAGACTTTGAGCGATGGTGGAGATAGTGTCCTACAACTAAGCACTAGTCCACGCCTTGAGAGTGGTCTTGCCAGGGCAAATCCAGATAACCTATAATGGAAATTTCTCCTCTCCTTCCTCCCTGCCCCAAAATAGTCAAGTTCATTTCCTTTCTGAGCCCTTGTCACTCATAACTCTGGGGGCTTCCAATCCCATGTTAAGAGAAAAACCAGAAGTTCTGCTGGATCCACATTGTTTTATCCCCTCAGAGTTTACATGTTTGACACCCTGTTTCATCTACTCAGTCCCACCTGGGGAACTTAACTGGAGAAAAGTGTACCAGTAAATATTGCATTCATCCCTCTTGCCTGTGGGGCATGGGTTAACCTTCAGACTTGGGGGAGGTAGGGCGTTCTTCAGAAGAGACCCCACCCTAATTCTCCTCAGTCCTAGATCAAACTTTCAAAATCTCCAGCTCCTGTTCTTCTTCTGGCCAGCACTTTGCCTGGTGTGAAGGGTGAGGTCTGGAGACCAGAAGCCAACCAGCCACTAAGGTTAGAAAGCTTGCTATTCTTAGGCCTGCCTACCTAGCCCCGGACCTCAGGCTTCCCCTTCCCTCAGGCCAATATTCTGGGCCGGAGGGTGCCCAGGAGGGGATAGAAGAAGAGAATGCCACGGGTGGCTCAGACTCGGTACAATGGAGCAGGGGGTTGTTAGGAGTAACTGGCTCCTTTAAAGACCGGACTTAGAAGGTAGAAGCCTCCCATTAGGGATCTGAGAGACCTCTTCTACCAGGCAACTCCTGCTCCCAAGCCTGTTGCAAAAGGTCCCGGGATTTCAGGCAAGTGAGGATAGGGTCATACCAGGCTCCGGCTACTCCTCCTCACCAACCCGGAGTCCTACCCCGCGGAAACGATGTCCTCCAGAGTCTTCGCTCTCCGGCGGGCCTTACCTCAATGTTGCCCACGGTGCGGGCACAACCCACCACCTTCAATCCCTGCTGGACCAAGGCCCGGGCTACCGCTGCGCCGATGCCCCCAGAGGCTCCGGTCACCAGGGCCAGCCGGCCGCGCCACCGCTCCATGCCGGCTCTGGCCATAATCCCTAGCTTCCCGCCCACCTCGCTCGGCGAACAGGGCACTAGAATCTCTGAGCTTAGTCCCGCGTCGCCAAGGCTCTGCCGCTCTTCCGTTATTGCGGCGGTAGCCGCGGCCAAGCTGCGGGCGTCGGTGCCGCACTTCGACCCACCCCCAAGCGGGCCGGCCTCGGGCCAGGACTCCGCCCTCCAGTCCTCAGCTCCCGGCCACATCCTGCCGGAGGTCGGCCGAGGCCTGGTCGCCCCGCCCTTCCTGTCCCGCCCCCTCCGCGGCTCCCGGAAACTGTACGTTCCGCGGTGCGGGTGGGTTCGGGTGGGTGCGGGAGGGTCCTGCTTCCAGGGTGAGCTTTACCCCCTTGCGTCTGGAAAACTTAAGCCCAACGGGGAATTTCTCTAGACCAGAGGACACATACATACATGGCCTCTTGTTCAGTCTTCTTTCCCTGTTCCTGACCCTGGGAAAGCCAAAATGAGGTTATAAGAGCGCTTGAGGTGACTCCAGCACCCTTCCCAACAGTCTATGACTGATGGAGACGATAGAGTCCCGGAAAGGTCAAGTGTCCCCTCCTACCCGATACCTTGGCTTTATAGCCAGGGAGAACTAAATGATTAAATGATTAAAAATTGAAATAACGGCAAGGGCCACTTGGGGGATTTTGCTCCCAAGTGGCCCTATGTCTCCAACTGTCCTGGAACTGCCTTCCCCACATTGTAGCAGATATCAAGATGCATACCACAGATTACAGCAAGAGATAACAACTGTACTGAATGCTTACTGTGGCAAATTTTTAAAGCACTTTAAATGTATTAACTAATCTGCACAACCACTCTGAGATAGTACACACACTACTCAAAGCCAGGGCCTCATGCATGCCCTGGACCACTGGGCTACATACATTTGCATCCAATATCCTCATTTAAAAATCTTTTTTTTTTTTTGGGGGGGGGGGCCCGCAGTGCTGAAGATTATCAAACCTAGGACTTCATGCATGCTATGGAAGCATTCCACCAGAGCTACATCACCAGTTAGTAAATGCTTTAAAATTTTTTTTTTTTAGTTTGTATATGGACACGTTATTTATGTTTATGTGGTGCTGAGTATTGAAAGAACCCAGTGCCTCACATGTGCCAGGCAAGCGCTCTTCCACTGAGCCACAACCCCAGCCCCAGTAAATGCAGTTTTTAACCAGGGTGTCCCTATGTTGCTCAGCCTTCCAAAGTGGCTGGGGTTACAGGTGCACACACCAGTTTCCCATGTCTCCTTTTTTGGGGGGTGGCAGGGTTGGTGGTACTGGGGATTGAATTCAAGTGCATTATTGCTGAGCCACATCTCCAGTCCTTTTTTTTTTTTTTCCTTTTTTTTCTTCAGAGAAGGTCTCACTAAATTGCTGAGGGTGGCCTCAAACCTGGATACCCCTGCCTCAGCCTCCTGAGTCACTGGGATTACAGGCATGCACCACTGTGCCCATGCGTTTATCCATTATTTTAAAGATAAGTATATGAATAGAGTAGAGCTCACTTTGCTATCTGCTCACTCAGGGTATTCCACCAAAGTTCTGAAAACTGCCTCATTTCTGCATTCTTTATATCCTTCCAAAGAAAAAGGGTCTCTGGGGCCCAGGATGTTGCTCAGTGGATTGCCAAGCATGCACAAGGCCCCAAGATGATCCCCAGCACTGCAACAGAAAGAGATAAAGAAAAAAGATCTTTGAATTTTAATTCAAGGAACATTCATTTGCCTATCCTGTGTTTTGCTCCAAGGACAAATATCAAAGCAAAACCAGCCATTGCTTTTAGAGATCTCAAAAGGACACCTGATTATAATGGTGGTGGAGAGGGGATAGGCCTCAGAGCCAAGTGCAGCCTTCTGATCCCAGTCACACATGTTGAGTAATTATTATATAAGCCTTAACTGAAATTCTGTCAAGTGTTGTTTTCTTACTTTTGGGTCAGTAAGAACCTCTGAATCTAAGAGGTGTTTTCTGTTACCACTTAGGGGATTTTAAATAATAACAAAGTTTTATGAAAAAGTAAGATGCTAGCCAGTATTTAAAGGTATTGCAGCAAATTTATTCTTTCAGAGCAAAAGACTAGAAACTGCTTTTCTCAATTGCCAACTCTGATCAAGGGAAAATTTTGTCTTCAACAATCCATATATCTCTATCCTCATATGCATTTCATCCTTACATAAACACTGGCCAAGTACCAAGTACAGGCAGCAAATACTAAAGTACTGCCACACATTAAGTAGAAACATGTACACCAAATTCTACTATGCGTATTAATAAATATTCTTTATTTTAAATTTTGCACATCGCGCTTTAACATTACATCCAAACATTTTGCAAGTGGATGTCTACTTTGTAAAACCATATATTCAGCTCATTGTCATTTCTGTACAGAAGTATAAGTACAACATTACTTTTTGCCACTAAGTTGCTTTAGTAAGTCTCACAGGAAGAGAAACATTTAATGAAAAGAGATGGCTTAAATCATATGGCAGGCCTGCGCAGCCACAAAACTAAGGACACAAGCCTGAAGAAAGAACAAACTAATGAAGTTACCTCCACCGTCTCCCAAAACAAGAAAGAATCACATTGATTTAAGATAAAATTTTGCCATAAGTCACTAAATTAAGTTTTTTTGAAAGAGAAGGCGCAGTAGTCATCTTGAGTGTTTCATTGAAAGACAGAGCTATTTTATTTATTTAATTTGCTCCAGCCGTTGTCAACCAGCCACTACAAATGGGCCTCTTGTGGTCATTTAAGCGGCAGTATTTGTTAAATTTCTCCTTCAGATGCTGTCGGTATTGTTCTCTATTGCTGTAGAAAGACTGATTATTAGCCATAAATGACTGTATTTCGTCTTGTGAGATAAAGATTTCCTCATCTGAAGTACATTCAGACTCATCCTGCAAATTAAAGCAGTAGTTAAGATGATGACTTTAAGAATGCAAAATGCTGACAGACTAGAAGGACAGCTAAAAATTAAAGCTTTTTAGTTTCAGTTCAGTCACACTAAGTCTTTAGTCGGAGTGTTTACGGAATAAGCATCATATCCTTCTGTCTTAGAAAGTAATAAGTGAGAATAAAATCTATCTATTTAGAATAAAATCTAAATTCTATTTGGTTTGAAACCCCAAATCTACAATTTATCCTAGATGCCTCTGAGTCCAGAGTATCACCATAGGGTCTACCTTTGAAAAAAAAATGATTAATTACAGATGGTTGCAACAACTAGTTAAGCAAATCTGAACCAAAATTGCCATGCATGTGGGACCCTTTCACTGCCTCCACCCCCATCACTTATGGATCTGGTATAATTAAAGTCTCAGGAGTTGATGTCAATTATAAAGAGTTTTCCAAGCTCAGTTCTGCTTTTATATCACATGACACCTAAAGGAAGTAAACTAGAATGCAAGCTCTAGTTCAGATTCTATATTTTCTTTTCTGATCTAGAAGGGTAGCTACTAAAAATTACCACTCAGGTGGAATTTGCTTATAGAGCTCTTTACGGAGGCAGTTCCTGGATTAAATGCTACCTTTATCCCGTTCTCCCAAGTAGTCTCTTCTAACTTTGAGATGAAGAAGAAAGTGTGCTCTACAGCAGTTATGTAAAACACCAATGGGAGAAATAGTCACAAAATAATGGAATATTACCCTACATTTTTTAAAAAGTGTGTCTCTATGCCCCACCTGAAACTCTGAAATACTATTATATAAATATTTATCCACAATAAGGCATAATGTACTACTTACAAGGAGTTCAACTAAGCTCTTGGCACCTTTTCCGGAATCAGGACCAAACAACATTTCTGTGGGTTCTGCAAACTGTGGTACATTTTTCCTATGCTCAAACCAAGGCAGTGGCTGCCCACCCTTTTCAGCACTGCAACAGCTTTCAGGATGTGCATCTTTGGTCTTGTCGCGGTGAAACACTGTGTGCACGGTATTTCCTGAGGTCTCTCGATTACCTGGATCTGTAATACAGCTTCCGAGCTTTTGGATCTGAAACCACAACAAAAGATTTCCCAAGTAAAAAGGCAGAGAATAGAGGCTAGGGTTGTGGCTCAGTGGTAGAGTACTTGCCTAGCACACGTGAGGCACTGGGTTCGATCCTCAGAACCACATTAACAAAAAAAAAAAAAAAGAAAGAAAGATATTATGTCCACCTACAACTCAAAAAATCGAACCCAGGGCCTTGCATGTGCTAGACAAGCACTCTACTGCTGAGCTACAACCCCAGTCCTGGTGTTAAATCTTTAGAAGGAAAACTCAGTAACAGCAACAGCTGCCAATTACTAAATATAACATATCTTAGATGCTATGCTAATCTGCCATATAATCTCATTTCCTCTTCATAGACCCTAGAATGATAGAAAATAGATAGAAACTATTACCCAATTTTACAAATTGGAAAAAACTAAACAAATTTCTCAAGACTACATAGCTAATAAAAAAAAGTATTATGAAGAGAATGAACTAGATTTATAATTTGTAGACTTGTGGACAAATACCCTCATCCCCCGCTTGGCCCATACCCTTTTATACACACACAGACAACCACAAGATGAGCAACCAATGGAAGTGCATGAAATACTCATTCTTTAAAAAAAACATACAACTCTATACTCAGCCATAAAGAAAAATGAAATTATGGCATTTGCCAGTAAATGGAAGGAATTGAAGATTATCATGCTAAGTGAAATAAGCCAATCCCCAAAACCAAAGGCTGAATGTTCTCTCTGATAATATGGATGCTAACATACAATAAGGAGGGAAGTAGAGAAGAACAGAAGTTCTTTGGATTAGACAAAAAGGAATAAAGGGAAGGGAAATAGGAAAAAGTAAAATGAATCAGACATATACGAAAACACCACCAGTGAAACTCCATATCATGTACAACCACAAGAATGGGAAGTTATACTCCATATATGTATAACATGTCAAAATACATTCTACTGTCATATATAACTAAAAAAAAATTAAAAATTTTTAAAAGCAACAAAAACAAAACAAATCCTAGCAGCTAAGGTGTACATTCATTTCAAGGAAAATAGATCGTTCAACAGCAAAGGTTTAAATTGCAATTTATGACACTTACATGTTCATCACATTTCAACAACTTGCTTTTCTTTTTCTTCTTTTTATTTTTTCCTTTTGTGTTGTTCTCTTCGGAATTTGCCCAACATTCAACGCAACTATCACCATCATCTTCTTTGTCTTCACAGTGATGAACACAGGAGTCATCACCTGCAAAAATCAATAATCATTCTTATTTATGTTCTTAAGTCAGCCATGTAGAAATAACTGGGAAGATTAATCTGAACCTACCGTGTTCATCATGATTACAAATGCCTTCAGTGCAGGCAACATCTGAACCCTCTCGGGAACCTGTTTCACTCCCCTCCATGCTAGATGAATATCCACAATCACTACCATTACAGTGTGGAGATATGCCTGAGAAAAAAATGAGAGTTAAAATTAATGTACCAGGATTTATATTAGGACAAGGAAAGAACCAACTGGGAGACACAGAAGATCTTCAAAATTGGTGGTTTATTGAAAATGAGTGAATAAATGAAAATGTGATGAGGGATTTACAGCTTTGTGCTTCTGTCAAACAAGAACAAATTAAAGAACAAAGAGAAAAGAAATATTAAGCATCTGACTAAAGTATATGCTTTCAGCAAGAATATAAAGCAATTTTTTTCTTGTTGTTTTAAATTTTGAGACAGGTCTTATTAAGTTGCTTAGGGCCTCTCTAAGCTGCTGAGGCTAGCCTCGAACTTGCAATCCTCCTACCTCAGCCTCCTGAGCACCTGGGATTATAGGCATGCACCGCTATACATGGCTATAAAACAATTTTTAAATTCTGGATTCCAAAATCTCTAAAAAGTTCTTATATTTAGGGTCGGGGTTGTAGCTCAGTGGTAGGAAGCTAGCCTAGCACATGTAAGGCACTGGGTTCCATCCTCAGCACCACACACAAAAAAATAAAGGTACTGTGTCCACCTATAATTTAAAAAGATTTCTTTTAAAAAATTCTTACATTTAAAAATATTTTTTGGTGATATTAGGGGTTGAACCCAGGAGTGCTCTACACTGAGCTACATCCCTAGTCCTTTTTATTTTTATTTTGAAATAGGTCTTGCTAAGTTGCCCAGGCTGTTCTTAAACTTGTGATCCTCCTGCCTCAGCCTCCCAAGTAGCTGGGAGTACAAGCATGTGCACCACCACATCCAGCAAACTCTTATATTTAAAAGAAAGAACAAACTCAGTAGATTTTTTTCATGGGGGGGGGCTGGTGGGGGGAGAAGGGGGCACTACCAGGATTGAATCAAGGGGCACTCAGCCATTGAGCCACACCCCTAGCCCCCCCCCTTTTTTTTGTATTTTATTTTGAGACAGGATCTCACTGAGTTGTTTAGGGCCTCAGTAAATTGCCTAGGCTGGCCTTGAATTTTCGATCCTCCTGCTTCAGCCTCATGAGTCACCAGGATTACAGACATGTGCCACTATGCCCAGCAAGAGTTAAATTTTAAAAATAAATTATTTACTTACCTTTTTTTATTTTAGGGGACCCCAAAAGATTGCCACTGCTAGGACAGGTACATGATGTATTTTCGTTGGTAACAATTACTTCTACACAACTATTACCATCTTCAGTGCTGCCACAGGCTTTGCAGCTATTTTCTATGAAGTCTGCTTCCTTTAAGTATGAACATTAAGAGATGGTAAAAAGATTAATCTCCATAATGGCTACATTTCAATTTCTTTTACTAATTAGGAGTTACAAAGTTACCAATTGAAAATATTCTCATGAAAAATAATCAAGCCACTTCAAGACAGTAAACTATCAGAGAATAAGTTTAGAGTTAATAGTACCAAGCAAATTTAGGATAGCAACTATCTCAAAATGTGGTCTACTGACCTGAGGGCGGTTCCCTAGGTCAAAACTATTTTTATTATTAATACTTAGATAATATTTGCATTTTCACTGTATTAACACTTATACTGATATAATAACACTTATACTTTTGGTGTCAGTACACCAAAGCAGTGGTGTACTAAAAAGTACACTAAAAGTCATCATATTCTTCACTTGTCATGCACTTGCAGCAAAAATAAATAAAAGATGTTTCATTTATGGTTGTYCCCCCCCCCCCAACACTGGGGACTGAGCCCAGGACCTACCACATGCTAGGCAAGGACCCAACCACTAAGCTAAATCCCAAAGTCATTTTTTAAATTCTGAGACAGGATCACACTAAGTTGCTAAGACAGGCCTTGAATTTTTAATCCTCATGCATCAACCTTCTGAGTAGCTGGGGTTACAGGCATGTGCCACTATACCACCTTATGAATGTCTTTGATGAAGCAGTAAAAATATTCATTTTATTAGTTATCAACTATGAACAGAGGTCTTTTATACACTCTACATGACAGATGGAAAGTATGCTTAAAGCACTTATGTTGCATATCAAAGTACAATGGCTATCTCAAGGAAAGATATTTGTGCAACTGAGCTGCAAGCTAAACTAGTTGCTTCTTTCCTGGAATCTCAGTTTCACTTGAAAGAATGACCGAGAGAACTATGGTTATTCAGACTTGGATATTTAGCAGGTATTTCCTTGAAAATGAATGAAGTCTGTTACTTCAAGGAAAACAATGGAGGGTCTATTATTGTCAATGATAAATTTTAGCCTTTGAAATAATTGTCAGAAATTTTAAAATCTGCATATAGTGTTGTAAACTTGAAGCTTCCTCATACAAAGATTTCTCTTTGTGTGTGTGTGAGGGGGGCGGGGTGTGGGGAGTAGTACCGGGGATTGAACTCAGGAGCACTCGACCACTGAGACTCAGCCCTACTTTGTATTTTATTTAGAATCTGAGTTGCTTAGCACCTTGCTTTTGCCGAGGCTGGCTTTGAACTCGAAATCCTCCTGTCTCAGCCTCCTGAGCCACTGGGATTACAGGTCTATTTTTCTCTTTTGAGATGGGGTCTTAGCATGTTTCCTAGGATGGTCTCAAATTTGTGGGCTCCCATGATCTCAATTCAGCCTCCAAGCAGCTAAGGCTACAGATGTGTACCCCACACAGCTCTACTACTTAAACACTTATCTAATGAGGTAAGTAATGATTTTTAATATATGTGATTATCCAACATTATGTAATAAAATGTCAGTATCTAGATGATCTGTATAACTCAGTGAACCAGTATCTTTCAAATGAATTCCAATGCACATTACATGCATAAGTAAAAGACCTATTCAAAGTGTAACATAGGGCTGGGGATGTGGCTCAAGCGGTAGCGTGCTCGCCTGGCATGCGTGCGGCCCAGGTTCGATCCTCAGAACCACATACAAACAAAGATGTTGTGTCTGCGCTGTAAACTAAAAAATAAATATTAAAATTCTCTCTCTCTCTTTCTCTCTCTCCCTCTTTAAAACAAAAACAAAAACAAACAAACAAACAAAAAAAAAACAACAAAAAAAAACAAAGTGTAACATAGTCCAAAAGATTTTAATTTAACAGATTATGAAGGCTGGGGATGTAACTCAGTAGTAAAGGACTTGCTGAGCATGCACAAGTTTCAATTCCTAGAACCACACAAAAAAATAAAAGAATGTTTTAAAGGGCATTTATATGTCCAATCCACATTACAACTAATCTTTCAGAAACGAATACTTCTTGAGTTGAAGTATCAAAGAATATATTCAACTATATGAAAAAACTATAGTAAAATAATCCTCCTATTTCCTATCATATACATATGTCTGTGTGAGACCAGACTTGATTCACATGCTTCCAACCAGGCTAACAACACAACCCAAGTGAATGCAGAGGCAGATAAAACAACTTAACTGATCCTTTAAAAGATATCTGGATTAAAGATATTTGAAGATATTTGCAAAAATATAAGAATATTCTTTTTTTCCCCCAAATAGCTATAAAAAAAAGTCAATTGATTAACATATAATGGGCTTATGGTTTTTTGTTGTACTAGGGATTGAACCCAGGGGTTCTCTACCACCGGGCTACATTCCCAGCACCTTTTTCAAATTTTTAATTTAATTATAGACAATGACTTAATAAGTTGCCCAGGCTGGCCTCAAACTTGTGGCCCTCCTGCCTCAGTCTCCCTAGTCACTGGGATTAGAGGCAAGTGCTACTACCCTAGCAAGGATTATGGTTTTTAAATTAATAAATAACTTAAAAGTAAGTATTTTTTAAAAAGCTCTTTGAGTACCTTAATTTTTAAGACTATAAAAGGATCCTGTCACCAAAAAATTGAGAACTGCTATAGATCATACACAGAGCTAACATTCCACATTTTGACTTTGATCTAACAGCACAGTAAAGTCAGGTAAAGAGATAACTATTCAACATTGTATAAAACAAATGCAACACATTAATAATTTGGCTTACACAGAAAAAGCCAACACACCATCTGCAGGAGCTCACATCTGGAAAAGCACAGTAAAAAATGTCCAAATCTAGCCAGGGGTGGTGGCGTATATCTGTAATCCCTGTGAGTTGGGAGGCTGAGGCAGGAGGATCAGAAGTTCGAAGCCAGCCTCAGCAATTTATCAACACCCTGTCTCAAAATAAAAAATACAAAGGACTGGGGACATAGTCAATGGTAAAATGCTCCTGGATTCAATGCCCAGTATTAAAAAATTTAAAAATTGCCCAAATCTAGCAAAAAATAATACTTCTATCCAAAGCAATATCTATAAACATTTGAGTTGGTACTAAAGAATACTACCTTCTCTGGGCTTACTTCCTTTTCATCTGCTGTTTGTAAAGGAGTAGGAATATCACATACACACTTATTTTTTCGTCTATTCTTCCGTTTTTGGCGTTTCTTTTCTTGCTTGAGTTCTCTTACTCGTTCCTCTTCTGAAAATTCCTCACAGAGTTGTTCCAAGCGGCTAATACCCTGTACTTTTTCCACAGTCATCTATTATAAAAATAATTTGAGAGTAAATATTGATCATAACTTCATTTTTCCATGGGAATTCCCATTTGTTAAATTTCAATATCACACACATACAAATAATATGCTGCAATTTTACCAGTTTCCATAAAGAATTTTAAACTTTAGTACCACTGTTTTTCCCTTTTGTAGTGGTAGGGATCAAACCCAGGGCCTTGGCCTTGTTTTAATATTTTAAATAATGACAGTCTTAAAAAACCATTCAGAAAGTCAATGTACGACTAATTCCTCTTGGGAAGTTATACTTAACATAAACTCCTATTCCAAACCAGCAATCTCTTACTTTTAAATTTCAGAATTTCAATGATGTAGAATGAATAATAGTTCATTTCTTTACACAAAGAAAAGAGTATTTAACCTAATTAGATGATCTAATCTCTTAAGACACAAAACATACAGAGAGAAAAAGAACTAAAAATCTGTTCCACGAAAATTAGTATGAATCTCAAACTCTCCAGAACAGGGTGCTTCAAAGTTCATGGGCTTGTGGAAATGTTTCCATCCATTCTCAAAAGGAACTAGTGAGCCAGTTAAAACGCTACAACTATGCTTTGGCATATACAAAATATTTGCTAGCCAAATACGTATGGTGTATGAAAAAAAACATTACCAAACACAAGTACTAAATTCAAGAGTAGCATTATAAAAAGCCTTCAGTATGCTTCCAAAAATATTTATTTTGTGTGTGGTACTGGAGATCAAACCCAGGGCCTTGTGCATGCCAGGCAAACAGTCCACCAGTGAACTATATGAACTATACCTTCAGTCCCTAAAAGTTGCATCATGGCATGCATATCCCATTTATTTTAAACAACTGGACATCAGACAAACTGGAACTCATTAAAGGTTTCTAATTTTGTTGCTTACTATTTGTTGTTCTTAACTTTTCATTAGTTATTTTTCATAGTAGCATCTTTTTAATCAGCCACTTTAGTTTCTAACTCTAAGAAAGTCCAAAAACCAAGGCTGGTGATATAACTGGATTAAAAAAATAAAGAAAAATCTACAAATTTCTAAATTGCAGTTCCCTAGGGCCCCTCTCTATTCAAAGCCAAGAAACTTCAGAAGTGGATCAAAGCTCTGAGGCACAAGTGGCTTAAGATTAAGATTAATTAAGATTCAATTAATTAATTAAGATTCAATCCAGTAACTTGACTGAGCACTCTTGGACATGGAAGCAGCCTACTATTCCTTTATTTTATTTTTTGGTACAAGGGATTGAACCCAGAGCTCTTAACCACTGAGCCACATCCCAGGCCTTTTTAATATTTTATTTAGCAACAGGGTCTCACTAAGTTGCTTAGGGCTGCATTAGATTGCTGAGGCTGGGCTTTTTTTTTTTTAATATTTATTTTTTAGTTGTAGTTGGACACAATATACTTATTTATTTTTATGTGGTACTGAGGATCGAACCCAGGGCCTCCCACATGCGAGGTGAGCACTCTACCGCTGAGCCACAACCTCAGCCCCTGAGGCTGATTTTAAATTTGCAGTTTTCCTGTCTCAGCCTCACGAGTTGCTGGGATTATAGGAAGGCACACCTGGCAGTCTACTGTTCTTACCTCAAAGCTTTTGCGTAAAGCATCAACACCAAGATAGAAAAGCATCTGCCATGTCTGTTCTTCTGCCCGTAATTTTTGCCAGATTCGATGCAATCTTTCATAAAGATGAATTCCCAAGCAAGTTAGAACTTCTTCTTGAGCTATATCTATTGTCTTAGCATGCCTTTCTCTTCGCCTATAAAGGAGAATAAATCACACATTAATTCCTAACACTCTTAACTAAAATAATAAGAGATGAAAAACATATCTTCAAGTTAAGATTTAAACAAAAACTACCAAATAACAAGACAGTTACATGTTTAAATTCAATATAAACATAAATACACAAGCACACAAGTATGTAACCAACAAGAAATTATATATACAAGAAGAACATAATCCTAATATTGCTAAAAATAGTAATTCAGGAACTGGCTCTAAAGAGATGAGTTTTAGGGCACAAAGAAGTCATGTAAGTGTCTACTTCACAGTAGACATGACAGTTCCTTTCACGTTCCAATTGCAGCAAAAATGCCTATTTGTTGTTTGGTTGGTTGGTTAGTTGGTTGGTTTTGAAGGAGAACAGAGAAAGGCAATGCCAAGGTGATTTAATCAAGGGGGGGGGGGGGGACCCTGTAAGCTAGTCTCAATAGAGTGTTCATAGTACTACAGTGATAAAAGAGGTCTCTGAATTCTAAAATGCCTGGTTGAAAGTAGGCACTCAAATGAGGTTTCCTAGACCACAGATATAAACCACACAAAGGATTTGATTTATGCTATGAACAAGTTCTTCTGATTTTATTTTCACAACAAAGTCAGATATGACATGTTAGAACCTAACATATAAGAACCTTATATAATTTAACAATAATATAAAGTACACAGTTCATGAATTACATTCAATAAAGCATTTCTTAACCCCCTGCTGAAAAGATCTTACTTCTATGCAAACACCACCATTGTGAATAAAATCTAAACATGATAATGCATGAAGAAAAAAATCCTTCTAATCATTTTCAAGTGAAAATGATAATTTATAATAATGATAGCCAAAAGAAGCGGGGGGGGGGGGGGGGGGGGGGGGGGGGGGGGCGGACGGCTGCCTCCCTTCCCTTCAAGCAAGGAGCAGAGGACTAAACCACACACCACAGTTTTTCCATATTTTCACTCAATCAATTAAGAAAGCACAATCAATATAGGCATACTTCATACATATATGTACTGAGGCAGAAGATGAGGGAAATAAACTTAGTAATAAAATGAAGCAAAGCGCTAGATAGCCCATTCTAGCAAACTACATACTCATACCCTCCTGCGAACTCTGGCTCGGCACGACCCAAAAGATGAGCAATGAAGTCTGTTTCACAGCAAACATGTATGTGTCGCTCATGTGGACAGCACCGCAAGCCTTCATAAAGTGCAGCACAGTAGCCCTTTTCTTTGCTGCAATCAAGCTCACCAATAAGGATATTGTATGCTCGAAGGACTTTATTTTTGCAATCAGTGCAAAACCTGTTGAAAATAAAAACCTCGAAATCAAGAATTGGCTATGTAATTATTTCATGCAGCATATAACAGTATACTAGATGATGGCACTCCCCTCCCAGATAGAGCATTTTTTTTAAAAAGCCTCCATACACACATTAAAAACATACACACGGCTGAGCACACTGGCACATGCCTGTAGTCCCAACTACTCAGGAGGCTAAGCAGGAAGATGGTTTGAGTCCAGGAATTCTAGGCCAGCCTGGGCAACACAGCAAGATCCCATCCCAAAAACCAAACAAACAAAACAAAACAAAAACATATACATGTAAGATAAACACAAATTTGGGATTACATGAATATAGCTAGATTGTCATTTAGAAGTGATTTTTTTAAAAGTAGAGAAGCACATTGCCTAAAAGAATGAGGCAGATATTTACTTATTATTTCATAAAATACATGCCCAAAATGTATTAGTTACCAAGGGCTAGCATATCTCTCTTTCAAGGGCTATTTGTACAGATCAGAAATAAAACAACAGAGGCAACAAACCAATGACTCTTAGCCAAGTTCTCTCTTCTTCCCATCTCTTAAAATAATTAGTTATCTTCTGCCAATAAACTTTGATATAAATTTTTATTACAACATTTTAGCACATCACTAGTTAAGCATTTGGAGGTGAGGCTAGGGATGGAGAGAAGAATGACAAAGTGTTACAGGCATTTCAAATTTTACTTATAATTTCCAAAATGTCAAATTATTTCTTCCAAAAATGTATATATCTCCATACACAGACATAATATAGAGAACAAATACACAGAAACGTGTTCAAACTTAAGTGTATATAATGTGATAAAAGTACAGAAGAATTATGTCAATTTAGAGGAGAAAGAATGTTTTCACATTTATCAATCAGAAATAAAACAATAGAGCCTGGTTTCTTCATCTTTGAATTCCTGAAACAAGTAAGAACTTGGCTTAAAAAAAAAAAAAAGAAATCAGGCTCACAATTTTACTAACTGGCTCTCTAAGAACAGCTGTGATAGAACTAGGAAATTTTGATCTCTGACTTAAATTCATCTTCCAAGTGAACTCAACAACTCCCATGACTTTAGCCAACATGTCTATAATGACTCATGACACTATAGCTGTGTTCAAGTCTCTGTTCTTGCCTGAAGGCCAAACCCATATTGAAAATAGTGAGACAGCAGAGATAGGAAATACTGTTCTGTGTTCTCTCTTGATCCCTCTTAAAAGTCAACCAGTCTAGAAAAACCTCAGTTAATTCTAAATTCTCCCCCAAGTCCACCAATTAAGGGTGGAGTCAATTAACATTTATTCTGTCTTTTCTACATCTCTTGTAAGTCCCTTCTTTTCGATTCCCTCAGCGCTGGTTTTAAAAGTTGAACAAGAAGAAAGTAATAAAATAAAAATAAAAAGCTTAACTGGCTTCCTTGATTCCACTCTTCCTGGTGCTAATGCATTTCTCACACCAAAATAATATTTCTAAATATTATTTTGTTGTTTATTAAAGTGTTGTTTCTCCGTTTGAAAATAATGCTCTGAATTCCTATTATTTCTGTTTTGTTCTTTTCTTTTGGAGGGAGGGTGTAGGTAATGGGGGTTGAACCCAGAGGTATTTACCAGTGAGCTATATCCCCAGTCCTTTTCACTTTTTATTTTGAGACAGGGTCTTTACTAAGTTGCTGAGGCTGGGAACTTGTGATCCTCTTGCCTCACCCTACTGAATTGATGGGATTAGAGGCATGTGCCACCTGCCCAGGTTTTTTTAAGAAGGAAACAGGGTTTTGTTACATTGCCCAGGCTGTCCCCAAACACCTGAACTCAAAGTGATCCTTCTGTCTCAGCCTCCTGAGTAGCGAGGAATAGCTAAGAGTACAGGTACACACTACCTCCTTGCCAGTCTGCTTCTTACTTATGCTTCTTACTACAGTATTTATTCTTATAATTGCCACACATTACTTTGGTGCATATGTCTTTCTGACCTGATAGTGGATAACTGTGCTTCTTTAAATGTATACAGGTTAAATTAGAGGCCCCCCTGGATAAACAGAGGCAATAATGCTGACAAGCAACATTAAATCATTTTATTTACCTAACACTTTAAAAATGAATATAGGTGCAGTGGCACACACCTGTAATACCAGTGACTTAGGAGATAGAGGCAGGAGGATTGCAAGTTCAAGGCCAGTCTTAGCATATTACATAGGGCAATGATTTCTTGTGTATGACACCAAAAGCAGAGGTAACTGATACAAGACAATAGGGATTTCCTCAAACTTTAAAACTTTTGCACAGCTGGGAGTGGTGGCAGGCATATGGTCAGTAATCCAAGCTACTCCTAAACGCTAAAGAAAGAGTATTGCAAGTTTCAGGTGAGCCTGGGCAACTTAAAGAAACTGTCTCAAAAATAAAAAGGGGCTGGGAATATAGCTCAGTGGTAGTGTTTTTGCACAGCATGCACAAGGCCCTGGATTCAATCCCCAGTGCCACAAATATTAAATAAATAAAGGTTAGGAATATAGCTTATTGGCAGAGTACTTGCCTAACATGCAGGAATTCCTGGGTTTAATCCCCAAAACCACATCAACAACAAAAAAAGACTTTGTATAAGAAAGGAACCAATCAACAGTGTGAAAAGACAACCACGGAATGGGAGAAATATTTGTAAACCATATATTGGATAAGGGGTTAATACAACTCTCACAATTCTGTAAAAACAGCAAAAATCAAATAACCTGATAAATCATAATGGCAGAGCACTGCTCTAGCAACCCTATAGTACTAGAAGTCCTAGTTTTGGGGTTTAATCCTCAGCAATGAGGGGGGAAAAAAAAGATAAATGAACTGAACAGACATTTCTCCAAAGATGATATACAAATAGTCAACCACAATTAGAAAAGACCTCATACCTATTAGAATGGGTTCTATTAAAAAACAAAAAATAACAAGTGTTGGCAAGGATGTTGAGAAATTAGAATCTCTGCACAATATTGGTGGGAATACAAAATGGTAGAGCACCATGGAAACCACTATGGAGGTTCCTCAAAAATAAAACTACCATATGATCCAGCAATCCCACTCCTGGGCATAAGAAATATTTGCAGCAGTATTCACAATAGAGATTTGGAAGCCACCTAAATATCCATCAATGGATGGATAAAGAAAATGTTATAGAAATATATCGGAACATTAGCCAGCTTTTTTTTTTTTTAGAGAGGGAGAGACAGAGAGAGAGAGAATTTTAATATTTTATTTTTCTTAGTTTTCGGCAGACACAACATCTTTGTTTGTATGTGGTGCTGAGGATCGAACCGGGTCCGCACGCATGCCAGGCGAGCGCGCTACCACTTGAGCCACATCCCCAGCCCCACATTAGCCAGCTTTAAAGAGGATTAGGGTTAGGGTTAGGGTTAGGCTCATGTCTGTAGTCCCAGATACTTAAGACAGGAGGCTCACTTAAGCCCAGAGTCTGACACCAGCTATATCGAAACTCTCATCTACTTAAACAAACAAACAAACAAACAAAGAAAAGCCAGGTGTGGTGGCACACACTGGGTGTAATCCCAGTAACTCAGGAGGCTGAGGCAAGAGAATCATAAACTAGAGGTCAGCCCCAACAATTTAGCAAACAACTTTGTGAAATCCTGTCTCAAAATATAAAATAAAAAGAATTGAAGGAATGACTCAGTGATTAAGCACCCCTAAGTACCAAAAAATAAAATTAAAAAATTTTAAAAAAGAAATTCTGTCCTATGCTACAACATGTATGAATCTTGAGGGCATTAAGTCTAGCAAAATAGGCCAATCACAAAAATTCAAAATACTCATTTCACTTTTGTGAAGTTATCTCAGATCATCACAAAAACAGAAAGTAGAATGGAAGTTGCCAAGGGATGGGGGAAGGAGAATCAGGGAGTGTGTTTAATGGGTATAATTTTAGTTACGTAAGATGAAAAAATTCTGAAGATCTTTTATATAACTATGGTTAACAATGTTGTAACATATGTTTAAAAATTGTTAGGAGAAGCCAGGCATGGTGGTACATACCTATAACCCCACCCAGTGCCATGGGACACTGAGGCAGGAGGACTGCAAGTTTAAAACCAGCCTCAACAACTTGGCAAGATCCTATCTCAAAGTTTTAAAAAAAGGGCTGGGGATATGGCTCAGTGGTTAAGCATCCCTGGGTTCAATCCCAGGTACCAACAACAAAACACAACAACAACAAAAAAAATTGTTAGGAGGGTAAATTTATGCTTTTTGTTCTTTTATAAAGAAAGAAAAGGAAATTTTTTCCTTTTGGTGAGGAAAAATGAACACAGAAAAAATAATACTTCTACATTTTTCAGGTTAGAAATGGTAACTTTAGTCAAGTAAACAAATAGAATAAAACTTGAAATATTTCTCCCCTATCTTATTGCCTTAGTTTAATATGTTTGATTATACAACTATAATTAAGTATGCAGCAAGTGCTTGTCCAACATGCAAAAGGCCCTGGGTTTATATGGGACTTGGGGCATAGTTCAGTGGTAGAGTGAGTGCTTAGCATGCATGAGGCCCTGGGTTTAATCCCTCACACACACACACACACACCCCAAAAAAAAAAGAAAGAAAAAAATTATGGAAGCAGAAATGAAAGTGATTTTTCCCATATGCAAAAGAAATATTGCCCATGAATTTTAAAACTTTTAAAGCAGAGGGTTCATTTCCTAACACCTCATTTCTAATGATGTACTATCATAATACTTAACTAGCTAAATGGTGTTGTTAAATCTTTATTATAAAGCTCTAAAAAAAAAAGTACATACTGCCAACAAAGTATATTAGACATTCTGAAATGTCTAAATGATGATGGTAATGATTATATCTGATTATACCTCAAAAACTCAAACTGTACCTGAAACAAGAATTAGAAATAGGAATAATAAAGATCTGCAAATCCAGCATGCAAGCGTTCACTGATAATTCTTCCTACATTGTCAGATACCATTCCAAGTAAACCTTACTATGTATCATCTATGCTGACAAATTCAACTTAATCCTACAATAAATCCTACAAGATTAATACCATCATTTTTATCTTAAGGAAGACAAAAAACAGGCAAAGAAAAATAACTTGTAGAAAGTTAAAACGGATAGAACTTAGAATCAAATCAATGTCCCTTACTCTCTTACCATACTTTCTCTCCACCCTGAAGATATTTATAAAATAGACTCTACTTTCTTATTAATATAAAACACTGCCCCAAAATACAGGAAATTCTAAAACATTAGTTCTGAATAGTAACTTATCACAACCCACCAAAAAGCTATCTTTTGGGTAAACCAAATCATATATAAAGAGGAAGGATGTATGTTTTATGTCTCTATATAGTTTCCCCCAGCTCCAAATAATTGACATATGCTTTACTCTTTGGAATATAACCAAACTTCCTTACAAGGAAGTTTGTAACTGAAAAAAGAAATGAACTTTAGTATGTAGGTTAAGTCATTAGCTCATTGCCATATCAAACACCAATCTTGATAACACCAGTTGTAAAAAGCATTTACCTATGTTTTTTAGAAGTAGCCCCAAAGTAATTGTGTGTATCTGTCCCAAAGTCAAAGAACACATAACCACAAACCCAACATGTGACAAATTCATAACAGTAGAACTCCCCCCAAGAATGCCACCTCTAGATGGCTCCCTTACCAGTTTCCTTTCCTATTGCACTCTCCCTCCCTACGAATTTCCAAATGTTAATGACACTTAGAAAATTCCTTTGTAAAAGTAGTATTCTAAAAAGAAAAATCTGAAGTTACTTTTATAGTACATGAAGCACATGAATTCCAACTCTACTTAAAGGTCTTGGCAAACAATTATAGAAGAAATACTTCAAAATATTACAAAGTAAAAAGTACTAACTTAACTTTAATTTTGAAAATGCCATCATAAAATGATTTTATCATAAAAACAAGTGATTAAGTATACTTTGATTCAGTCAATCTGTGTTTCTTGAAAGGCTGGTCCAGAACAAATAGATAAAAAGTATAAAAAAGGAGACACTGGGTCAAACAAGGCTAACTCTAAAGTCATCTCATAAAAGGACTGCCTACCCTAACAATAAGCTCCGCCTACTGCCAGGTATTAAAGGGAAGGCTGGAGGGCTATCATACAAAGGAGGGCAGTGACAGGCCACTCTTGATGACTGACAGCTAAGGCACCTTCCACACTATATCACGAGGATCTTTAGACTTACCTGTGTTTTCGCAGATATGTTTCTAGTGTTTCTAAAAGACAACTAGAGTCAATTAAAACTACTTCATCCCTGCATTCTTGGGACATTAGTTCCCATACATCCATCCAACAACCTCTGCAGAAAGAACAAACATATTAGTGAAAAGGAGGAATACATAAGGGTAAAACGTTAAAAAAAGGCAGAATAAAGGATTGCTTGATTTTACCTGGCTGTTCCCTGGAAAGGTCCATAATGGAAAATGATCCTACACTTGCTGTCCTTCCTGTGGTCTTCACTACTTCTCTTATCTGTACTTAACTTCTCTGAACTGACACTGCTACTGCTCCCTTCACTGTAGTACAGTATAGTACAAAGCTTAGTGACACTGAGATAATCTGAAGGAATAATTTCTACAGTCTTAAAAGCATGAACTCATTAATATATTTAAGTATTAGTAGGGTACATTTACAAATTTGTATAATGATTACATACTTAATCATATTAAAATGTTATTTAAATATGTGCTCACATCTTTATATAAAAACTTGAGCTTGACTATAGTTTACCTAATATAAGTTAACAACAATATTTACAGTCATCAAGATAGCAATTGGTTTATAAACTTAAGCATTTTATGAGCAAATATACTTGGTATGTTCTAAAGATGAAAGGGCTGAAAAAATTATATTTTTACCTATAAACATGGATCAACCTTCCATAAATTGAAAATTCTAATAAGTTTTAATCTACTTAATGTGATTGAATTTTTTTTAAAAAGCTAGTCCATGGCAACAAAACTTGTATCTACTTTCATATTTACAATTAGAGGGAAAGTCATAGATTAATTTTATTATAGTAAATAAGCTTTACACTTACTAAAATAAAGATGGTATACTAAGATGAATACTTTACATAGTCTAAATTAGTACTATATGATAATTATTTTAAAATCGACTTAAAACTCCCCCACTGGTTTCAATGTAGTATTTGGTCATGAACTTTGCTTTGTCACATGTGTGCATTCCAAGAGAAATGGGCGTCTTTTATTCCACTCAAGGAGAGTCCATTTTTCTTGAACAACTAGCAACTCTTCTGCAGGACTTGTTACAGTCCTATTTCTCAACCCCCAGCCTAAATCAGAAGCACATTCAGCACATCTGATCCGACCACCTTGGAATGCTCTAGAAATTCATTGCCTAGATACTTATGATAGAAAAACCTCTGAATATGTATTTACTTAAACTTCTTTATATAGCTAAATAGGTATTTCTCAACCCTCAGCCCAACTAAGTTCACACAAATAATTCAGCTCCCTACTCCCTCACAAGGGCTCAGGCCAAGGTTCAACAAAAACCTCAACTCCTGCTCTACTTTCTATGTTAAATCCTTCTACTCACAGCCCTCATATTTCCTCTTTTTCTAATTATGTTTTCATGACCCACAGCTCAAATCAGGAAATTAGCCATAATCTCTCTATTGTGTCCTATAAATTCATTTCTTCAAGATCAAACTTTCAAGCCAGGCATAGTGGCACATGCCAGGAATCCCAGCAACTCAAAAGACTGAGGGCAGGAGAATCATGAGTTCAAAGCCAGCCTCATCAAGTTGGTGAGGCCCTAAGCAACTTAGTGAGACCCTATCTCAAAATAAAAAGGGTGAGGATATGGCTTATTGGTTAAGCAACCCTGGATTCAATCCCCTGTAAAAAAAAAAAATAAATAAAATAAAACTTTTAGAAAAAGTAGTCTTCTTTCTACTTTGTTCTGTTCTTATCTTTTCCATTCACAGTTTAATCCATCACAAGCTCACAGTGTATTCACTTTTCCACCTACACCAATATAGACTCTGCTTTCACTCAACCATTGCTCATCAGTTCTCAAATCCAGTGTCTACTTTGGGGCCCTCAATGAATCATTTCAGCACAGCTGACCAGACCACCTTGGAATGCTCTACCATTTAGTTACATCCTCAATACCTTCACTTTTAATTTATTTATTTAATTTTGAGACAGGGCCTTGCTAAATTTCTGAGACTGGCCTTGAACTTGACATCCTCCTGCCTCAGTCTCCCCTAGTGCCTCAGCCTCCCAAGTGGCCAGGATGTACACAGATATGCACCAACCCACCTGGCTCTGGCCACTCTTTCTCTAGTTTCTTTACTAGCTTCTTCTTTTCTACCATTAAACCAAATTCCCTGATATTCTTTTCTCTTAACCTACTCTTTCTCCAGGTGATTTTACATATCATTCTCTAAGATAATCCTCAGCTACAGACATACAAGAACTCTGGACTAAACCTTTCTTTAAGATCTCAAACTTACTCCCAGAAAAGATGACATAGATTGTTGCCATTTATTAGGCTAAAACCTAATGAGTCATATTATACTTTCCCTGGAGAAAGCATTAAAAAAAATCAGGGAGGTATAACAATGAAAATATATAAAATGATGGTGACCAACCAAAGTAGAGAGGGTGACTTGACTAAAGAGACTATACTCACTCAATGGCCTGCTATCCACATAGCATGTTAGAATAACTAAAAAACTACCTGAGTGGACAGATTTTGCTTAAGATCAATTAATTCTATTCAACTGATTCCATACTTAGCAAACAACTTTCAAAAACATCGGACTTCCCATATATTGAGGATATAGCTAGAGGGGGATATGAATTCTGTGGAGGTTTTTGTTTATAAGCTAAAATATAGGAAAACAGCTATATGTCAATTAAATAAAAAATTAACTGACAAAGCAAAGTCACTGGAGAACAAAAGAATAGATGAAATCCAAAGCAAAACTGGAAAGACTGGTCTTTAAAGGAAGGCGGCAATGAGTACAGATGTATAACATATGGGGTACCTGTTGCTTTTTAGTTCCTCAATGAAGAATATGCATAAAGGGGCTAAAGTGTAGCTCAACAGTACAGCACTTGCCTAGCATGTGTAAAGCCTAAGGTTGAAAAACCAATATAATATGCATTTTAAAAAAAAAGAAGCAGAAGGCAGGCTTTTTACTATCCTATACTACTCTGTTCCTTCAGTCAAAAGATCACTCTCTACATGAGAAAACATTGACAAAATTCTGCATTTAGAAAATCAGAAATTCTCTAAAGATATTGATAAATATGTAAAAGAACAAGTATCCTTAGGAACTATTTTAGGCTATATAAAGCTTTGCTGCTTTCAGCATATTCCCATGTTTAGATAGCATGCAATGTGAGTCCTTATATGGATACTGATTCAAACAAACCAAAGCAAAAAGACACTTAACAATACTAAGGGAACTCTTGAGTACTGACTGCATAATGTTAATTCTATGGGTATTACAATGGCATTGAGATTATAAAAGAAAATGTCCATGTATTTGGAAATGACAAAGAAGTACGTAAGAGCCGAGTACCATGATGCCTTGAACTTCCTTTAAAATACATCAGCAAAGGAAAAGGTTTATAAATGAAACAAATGTAGAGTTTGGTAACTATTAAATCTGGGTGAAGGTACAAGGGTTGGGGAGTCTTTGTACAGTCTCTACTTATACTGGGGAAACTGAGGTGGGAGGACCACTTGAACATATGAGTGTAAGAAGAACCTACACTACAGAGAGCCCATGTTTCAAAAAAGAAAAAAAATATATGGTACTACTTGTATAGTCTTCTCTTCTGAATTTATGATGGATTTCATGATAAAATTTTAAAAACTTTTCATTTCCAAGTATAGAGAGAGAAAAAAAAAAACCTAATACAGATCAGGAAGAGGGAGGAGGGGAGAAAAGTTACTGAGGAGTAAAATTAATCAAATTATGTCATATGCATGTACAAATGTGGCATTACAAATCCCACTATAATGCACCAATTAAAAAAAAACTCGTAATATATTATTAACATTACCATCACCTGACCATCCAGGTCTTTATATTAGGGAGGAAAATGTCTATACAGTAGTACCAATAATAATGAGATATTAAAAACTTAACTTCAAAAACTAACTCAGAATTAGAATTTTATATCATCCCATTCTCTCCAAAACAAAAAGTTACTTCTTAGAAACTCCCTTCAAATTTGTGTCTTCTCCTTAATAATCCCACCCCAAAGAATTTAGTGAGACAACTGTGCTAATGTGCTTGGAGATAGGGGTGAAAGCAACATTGGATGAGGTAGCATCCAACACTATGAAAAAAAGTGCACATCAGTTACATAGATATATACTGCCATACTGTCATATGTGCCATAACAAGGCACATTTTTTAATTCTTGACCCATTTATTAGGGAGATATAAAATCTCAATCTCGTTCTCCTAAAACATATTTAATGTAAGGAAAAAAAATTTTAAAAATCAAAACTATAGAGACACTATATGGTTTCAATGCAGAAAGACCTACAGAACCAGAGTGCATACTTATTTTGACAAATATTAGAGTGTAACCAATTAATGAATTGAAACTAGCAAGGTTATTTACTCTTTCTACTAAATATAATCTACATTTATAATATTAACAATAATGAAGCACTTTGGTATTCAATTCCACTTACCCCAAAGGTTTTGGTTTGTGCGTATCTAAGGAGTGCAACTGACATCTCTTGTTCTTCTTACTTTTTGGAATAGCATCTATCATGTCATTTAGTTTGGACCTAATGAAAAATAAATGTTTAAAGGTTAATAGTCATTTTTCTTTTAAATTTTAGAAATCTCTACTTACTGCCGTTTCATAATAAGGGCAATGTGAGAGACACTTTCACTTACTCTGAAAATTTCTCATCAAACATATGCTAGTCCAAAAAGAGTCTATACACTCATTTTCCCCTTTCCATTCCCAGCCAGTCAAAATGTTGAAATAAACCTGCTCTATTCAATGCTTCCCCCAGACTATACCTGTTTCACTTATCTAGCAATGTGCTTGGCACTCCAATATTTTATTACTGCTACAACATGACTCTCAGCTATCTTCCTCTGTCCAAATGTTGTCTAAATACATAACCTAAATGAGGATCCATCAACAAAAATTTTATGCAAATACAGAATGTATCTTTAATGTAATTTACAGAATGCCAGGTAACACTATTGTGTACACCCTACCTCCAACTTGTCAACTAACTTTTAAACCTATCTAGAATTCTAATACTCCCACTATCCTTGTCTAACCCACCCAACTCTAGTTTATCAACTGCAAATAGCTGGCTTCCTAAATGGTCTACAACCTTTTGCCTTTTACATTCTAGGTTTCACTTAGCACCCAGTGATCCTTTTCAAACATAAAATCAGATTATGTTGTTCATCTGTTCAAAAACTCTCCAAAGCTTCTTTGGAGAAGAAGTACCTACCACCATCTTCAAACAGGAAAGCCTTAGGGTTTGGCCTTCAGATCTCTTTTCTCACTAAATGACCCACTATTATAGCTCTATACCATCTCTCTGTATGTGGATATCCAATTGTATTTCACGCTTAACAAATTCAAAAGTGAGCTCTCATCAAACTGTTCCTTGCAGACTTGCCCATCTCAGTAAGGGACACAATCAGTCAATCCTTACATGCCCAAAGCTCTCTTCCAATTAATCTATCTTAAATCCTGCTGACTATTTCCTCAAAATACTGCCAGGATCCTATCATTTCTCACAATCTCCATTATTACTACTGTAGCCCAAGTCACCCATCATCTTTCTCATGAATTATTAAATAGCCACCATTTCTCTACTTCTACTCCTACCTTTGTACCATACCCCGACATATACACTGTATTCTCAATAAGGAGGTCACAGCAGGCCAAACTTTAAGTCAGACTACGTTGTTCATCTGTTCAAAACCTTCCAAGGCTTTCCACCTCACTAAAAGTAAAAAGACCATAGGATGATCTACAAGGTACTACATGATAGGACCTTTTATTATTCTTCTGATCTCATCTTTTATTTTACTGTTCCTTTCATTCATCTGATTGCTGCCACAGTGGCTTCTTTGCTGTTCCTCAGACATGACAAGAAAACTCCAACCTCTAACCTTTTTATTTGCTGTTCCTTCACTTCCTTCCCCTAGATATCTATATGGTTCCCTCACTCCCTTCATTCAAGTCCATACTCAATGCATTTTAGCAGAAGGGCCTTCTCTAACCACCTTTCTTAATAATTCTACATACTCATTCTCTATCCCTCTCTACTGGTTCTACTATGTAACTTATAAATTGCAAATTATATGTTTATTGTATCCCTCTTTTAATTACTGCCCCAACCAAATTTAGGAAAAAAGCTACCATCACTGTTAACAAATTGTTTAGAAGTTAACAAAATCATTTCTCTTAATTTATTATACTTACCCATGTACATAAAATAATGTATAAAGCTTCTTTGCATCAGTCATGCAGCTTCGAGTTACAGATAGGACTCCCTTGGGTCCTACTGTCAGGGGTTCAAGGGCAGGATTTCCAGACTCTACAAGCTGGGAAAAGAGGCGTTCCACACTGCGACGACAACCAACACATGGGACAAGCTGAGAAAGTGCACTCAAGACTTCACGTGATGTTACAACCATGGCAATACTTAGATCTTGTTGCTTAAGCATACTGTGTCGCTAAGAAAAAGAAAAAAAGTAAAGTGAAAAATCCTTAAGACATAAAATGTACTCTTTCACCACTACTAGAGTTCCTATCCTTGTACAGTAAGTACAACCTGCCATGGGCTTACCACTTTTATCTACAACTGAGTTAGAAAGGCAGAGTGATCAGCCTTGTCTATGCTGTACAGAATTTGCTCCATAAACCACTCTGCTCTAGAATCCAGAGTGAAAAGAACTAAACTCAATCTACAGTATAAAAACGGTAGTATACAAACTTCTAAAATACCATTGAGCAAGCATGCCAAGGTTAAGGAGTATGCACCCTGACATAGCAAAAAGAAGCCTGCATCTGCTGCATCTGGAAATTGAGGACTTATTCAGTGAATATTAAAAATAATAATAAGAAGAAGGTGACAATGCAGCTTTACCATATCTTCTCTTCAACTTTAAACAACACACTATGTTTAGCTATAGGAGTCAAATTAGCATGGTGATCGTGAAGAGCAGAAATTCACAACCTGGAGGTACAGACACATGTATTATGAATTAGTGGGAGAGAACAAGGACCATCTTACTTATGAGGGAGCCTGCAGTAATATGCTGGTGCACATGAATATTATCTGATGATTATGACAAGGTAGAAAAACGATTAAAAACCACAGCTGTTCAGAAATGGGCAAAACGCTAGTAAATAACTTCTACCAAATGGAGTGAAGAGCTACTGTACAATAACACTTTCAGATTTACCAAAAATAGATGGAGGGGTAAGACCACTAACAAGAAGCACTTTCTCACATTTACCTTTAACTTTTCATTTAAAATTTTCTCTAAAGGTAGAAATCGAGTTCTGAAGTAATCTTCCATTATCTTAATTATATGTTATATATTTAAATGCATTTATAAAATATCATATTTCCTAAGAATTAAATAAAAATCAGAAAGCTCATTATAATAGGATTATTTTTTAAACTTGAACAAAATAATCATACAGAAGAAACCCTACAAATTCTTTTTTTGTGTGTGTACAGTGCTGGAGATTGAACCCAGGCCCTCATACATCCCAGGCAAGCTCTCCAACACTGACCTATATCCCTATTCCCTAACAAGTTCTTGATGAAAAGCTGTGTACCCTATCTTTAAAAACCAGGAAAAGCTGGGCACAGTGCCACACACTTGTAATCCCAGCAGCTGGGGAGGCTGAGGCAGGAGGATCACCAGCCCCAGCCTCAGCAAGAGGGAGGCACTAAGCAACTAAGTGAGACCTTATCTCTAAATAGGGCTGGGGATGTGGCTCAGTGGTCTAGTGCCCCTGAGTTAAAAAAAAAAAAAAAAAAAAACAGGTAAGAAGGCCAGGTGAAGCAGAACCTTACGGACATGTAAAATGTTAGCACCACAGTGTCTCTTTCACATGACAGGCCCATATATCAGTTATGTTAACATATTCACCACAGCAATAGTAAAAACTAAAACATTTCAGTTTAACTATAAGTAAAACAAAACTTAAACTTAGTTTAATTTTATTTATTACAGCTAAATTCTAAATGATTCTTTAAATACACACACTACTGAAAACACCGATTTTAAAAATTATTACCTGAATGAACTGCTTTAGTTGTGCACCATTATTCTGATGCCCATCGAGATTTAACACATTGTCAGGAAACTCCATCACCATCTTAAAATGCAAAAAGAACAGGAATCAAATATTTTATTCTCTTCAAACACATTATACAGCCTATTTTATAAACTCCTAGACAGAAATAAGACCTCAAAATCCCATCCCACACAAAAAGGTTTTTTTAAAAAATCTAAATATACTACCAGCTTGGTGGCACATGCCTGTAATTCTAGCAACTGGGAGAATAAGGCAGGAGGATCACAAATTCAAGGTCGGCCTCAGCAACTTAGCAAGACCCTCTCTCAAAACAAAATTTAAAAAGTAGAGGGCTGGGGATGTGGCTCAAGCGGTAGCATGCTCGCCTGGCATGCGTGCGGCCCGGGTTCGATCCTCAGCACCACATACCAACAAAGATGTTGTGTCCGCCGAGAACTAAAA